GTCTTGCCCTGGTGAATTTCCACAATAATTGTTGTGCGCATTTGTAGATCTTAATTTAGCATCTATCTGACTATATATTGGCCAAAGTAGAACATGCGGCCGGATCAGCAGGTTGTGAGACATAGCGACTTAGCATGAGGAAGTGTGGTTGGTTAGCGTTGCAGTAAAGTGCTGCATCTGTGGTCCTGCTTTAAGTGTGGCCATCGACCACTAATAGTGTTCTGATAGTCTCACAGCTCACACCAATGCCTACAGCAGCAGCAGCACTCCAATGTTCACGTGGTTATATGAGCCTTGTTACATTGTTTCTGTTACTTGTCTGTCTTTGTCTGAGTGTCTCACCAGTAGCAGGGCCTCCAGCTGGTTAATGTAGATCTCCTCGCTGGCCAGGAATCCAGACAGCACCAGTCTCTTCATCTCCAGTCCTTTCTCGATGTCTCCCTGCAGGATAAAACAGACCTGGCTGTAATATGCTTTTATTCGCTTACATACACATATAGCGCACTAGAACACACACGTTCACCAAAAATCCTGTTATCGAGACTCGTTTCTGACTAACGGCACATGAAAGCACCCTGACTCTATTTCCTGCAATGGTGCCAGTGGAACAGTCACATCAGGTAAACACAAGATTGATACAAACAGTCGTAAGCGTAAAAGAATGCGCAACCTATTAGAAATCTTATGAAAACATCTAAGTATCTCATTTCCTCTGTAAAACTATTTGTGATGACTCCAGGCAACTGTTGCATTTTGACGTCAACGTCGGGGAAGTCAACATCCTATTGATGTCTGAGAAACACAGACCAAGGCACACTCATAGTGTACTGTTTACATTTTGTGGGAACTTATAATTAGAGCAAAATTACCAGGTTTCAAAAGAGGGACTTCCAACATGATCACAGAAGACTTCATCTTTCTTCACATTATTCTCACTTTTGGCCGTTCCCCCGTCATAAAGGACTGCCCTGCTCCACATTTTATGATTTGGCCAGTGGGAATCGTATAGTTACTCCTGATACTAATGCAATACACAACAATGGCATAGTGATACAGTGACTCTGTGGTAGATGATACTTGCGTGACAATCAAAATGT